TTCCATGGCACAGATCCTGGTCCTTCCCTTTGCAGCTGCTTTCCTGGAGGAAGAACACAAAGTTGAACCAATTCATGCTTATTGCTAGTTTGAAATGCTGAACTATTTCCTACTTTGGACCTGACTTTCTATAGTGGGACTGCTGGAGTGGGGAGATGCCTGTGGGGGACATCTCAGTGCAGGAGTAAGGGCTTTGGTCAAAAGTTTTTTGTGTGTGGAAGTGACCCAGGAATTAGCCACTTGCTGCAGTGCTTACCCATGGAAAATAAGGTCTCTGATGAGCCTGTGAGTGTTCTCCCACCCTTTCTACACTCATCACCACTGGTGGTTGCTGATTCCCCAGCTTCTGGCAGGGGGCTTTACAAAGCAAACTGCTTTGTCCTCATGTTCAGAGAATGGCCAAACCCGCAGCTTTTTCCCAGCCATGGTGGCAAATCCACTGTGGTTTATTTCCAGGACATTAAACTAACTCATAAGGCTCTGTTGAGGTGCCAGGCTTGTGCTCCAGCACCAGCAGCTCTCACACTGAGGCTGGATCCAGAGATGGACCCCCCTCACCCCTCACTGCACACAGCCACATACACTGTCCTCTCTCCCTCTGCAATCATTATTTGATATTTTCAAAGCAATTACTTTAGGATGGAGCTCATTTAAGTTTCTTCCTTTGTAGAAGTGAGCCAACTCTAACCATTATTTCATTGCCAGGTTGTCACAAATGCCCATGCAGACCTTTCTGCCAAGAAGTAATAGGCAGTTGCTGACGTGATATTCAGTTCTTCTTCCATTAAAGAACCTATGCAGGGGGAAAAATTGAACAATGTTAAAAGGTCTAAGGAAAATTTCGTAGCCTACAATTTCCTTTCATTATGAACAGTTATATCAAATTGTTGAGCTGATGTAATATATAAAAAGAGGAGCTTTCAAGAAATTATCTCCAAATGTCACTAAAAAACAATGTCTGGGAAATAGCTTAAATCTTTTTTTCCACACCTATTTTAAATAGTTTTATTTCCAATTGATTATAATCACTGCACTGTAGGCTGACACTGAAGTCTGCTTTAAACAAGTCATTTTATATCCCCAACAATTTCTTTGTGTCATCATCTCTCTTAGGATTGGGTTGTTAATGTCCAGGGAAGGATTAAAAAAATACTTTAAAGAGAGGGCAGATGCAGTAGTGAGAGCAACCCATTATGGTTATACATGTGCTTTGAGAAATCCAACCAAGCCAAAACTAGTCTTGAATTGAGATCTTATTTTTTGGCAGTGAGATGAGGCCTCTGTGTGTGGACAGTCAGCAGCAATGAGAAGGCTCCAGGGAGGTTTTGGAGCAACTCCTGGTACCTCAAGGGGCCCTGCTAGAGAGCTGCAGATGGGCTTTTTACAAGGGGATGTAGTGGAAGGATAAAGGGTGGTGGCTCTAAACTGACAAAGGACAGCTTTAGATTAGGTGTTAGGGAGAAATTCAGTGCTGTGAGGGGGTGAGGTGCTGGGATAAGTTGTACAAAGAAGCTGTGGCTGCCCCATCCCTGGAAGGGTTCAAGGCCAGGTGGGATGGGGCTTGGAGCAAGCTGGAATGGTGGAAGGTGTCCCTCAGTCACTGAGCACACACATGACCTGCTCATGAGACCAGGCTGAGCTCAGCTGCAGGGGAGAAATGAACAAAAAGCCATATATTTTACATTTCATGATTAGTCAGGCACCAATCCATAACAATGAAACACAGCAGCAGACAAATGCCATCAGTTCACAGAACTAAAGACAGCTGGGGGAAAGGGAAGGGCTGGGCTGTTGTGGGGTTGCTTTCACTTTACCCTAACATATATTAAAGTGCTTTAAAAGGCAACACTTTCAGTTGGGAACCAGTTTCCAGTACAAACTCACAGAGAGTGAAATGTTGAAACTGTTAAAATGACAGGACTCAGACCAAAACCTCTTGTGGAAAACAAGGAGGATGTGGAGTAAGCACTGGTAATGGCTATGCCAGCTCCTCTGTGACACTGTGCTGAGTGAAGAAGGCTTTGTCTGTTGAGGCAGTAGCAGCAGATGTTGGCATTTTTATAGCAGTCTCTTTTTTTGTGCATTAATCAAAATTGCTAACACTCAGCAATACACGAGGAGTGTAGTTGACTCTTAATGTAAAGATGGAGTTAAATAATGCAGAGATCATAAATAAAACTAAGCCTTAGCTATGAAAGTGCCATTTAAGGCACCACACTTCACTTAAGTAGTAAAATACTGTGAAAAATTAATGTAAATAATACTTATGTTCCACATTGTAGCAATCCATTTGTTTTTCATGCTGCCATTTACAGCAGTCTTAGAATTGGTTTGGGCCCTGGGTCAGCACAACAGATGACCACATCTTACCTGCTTTGCTGACCCATTATCTCACAGGATCTTAGTAATATCAAACCTTTTTTTTTCCTGAGATGGATGGTGATGATAGCAAAGGTTTTTCCATGGCTTCTAGGATTGTCTGTATGGAAGTGAAAAGATGGCCTGGGGTAAACTTAGAGGAAGCTGAGAAGTTATGTTTGCATCCCAACAGCACAGAAATGAAAGGGTGAAATGCAGTTGCTACTCCCTGGCTGGAACATGGTTGACATGTTCAAAACTATTCCATGGTGAGTCCCCACACCCACAATCTGCAGCCAGAACCTCCTAAGGGCAGTGGAATGGAGGGTGGGTGGATTGGAGACACCTGGCCAAGCTCTGTAGAAATCCTTGCAGGGAGGGGAGCTCTCCAGGGAGACTTGGAGCAGACTCCAGTACCTGAAGGGGCTACAACAGAGCTGGACAGGGAGTTCTGACATGGAGTGACAGCACACTGTGAGGGTGTTGAGACAGTGAAACAGATCATCCAAAGAAGGTGTTGGTGCTCCTTTCCTGGAAATCTTCAAGGCCAGGTTGGATGGAGCTCTGAGCAACCTGGTCTGGTGGAAGGTGTCTCTGCCTGTGCCAGGGGAGATGGTCCCTTCCAGCCCAATCCATTCCATGATTCTTTGATAAAAGTCCAAACAAGACAAAAATTCTTACCTCAGAAGAGGATCATCACTGGTAACAGCTCAAACAGGATCAACAGGCAGCTTTCTGGGGCTCACTGCATTTTTATGCTCTGCTAAACCACTGCAATGATGCAAATACAACAAATATCTTTCATACTCCCCAGCTCATCAAGAGTAAAATTAAAAATTCCAGCATTTAAAACACCTAAAAGGATGCTCTGCTTTCACCATGATGATCCCTGTATTGATCTATCATTTAGTCAGCAAGGAATTAACATAATATTACTATGGAAATATGCATATTTATTTTAAAAAAAGATCTTCAAGTGTTTAGTTTACTAACCTGTCTTAGTTTGCTATTTTATAGGAGCACTTACCCTGTTGGGCACTATCTCGAGTTTCAACACATCTACATATCTTTCCCCCACACTTTCCCCTCTGACTGGAAACATTACAGCACTAAAAATGGGTGATTTGAAGGAAGACAGTGGAGCTCTGAGCAACCCATATTCCTGGAAAAGGTCTCATATTCCTGGAGACAAAGCATTTCACCTGTGTGAAAACACTTTTCAAAAAAGAAGAAAAACAGCCAAGATTGTTTTACCATCTGGTTCCAGTTCTAGACTTGAGAGAGGAAGCTCAGCATGTTTTCCTCATGTGTGCTGTTAAAAAGTCACCTGTGTGAAAACACTTTTCAAAAAAGAAGAAAAACAGCCAAGATTGTTTTACCATCTGGTTCCAGTTCTAGACTTGAGAGAGGAAGCACAGCATGTTTTCCGCATGTGTGCTGTTAAAAAGTTTGACCTTTCTTCCTTTTTTTTTTTTTTAAACTCATGACAATTGTCCCTCTTGCCTGAGCCAGGTTTGCTCACCTCTGTGAACATCCCAGAAGTGCAGCACCATTTCTCCAAGCAGCAGCAGCAGCCCCCCTGCCAGGTCCCAGGAGAAACTGAGTCACAGCCAAGCAGTGAAGGAAAGCAATCAAACAGCCCCTCCTCAGAGCATCTTCTCCTCACCCCAGTATGAACACAGCTACATTAATCCAGACTCCACAGCTGATGACTTTCACCCATTTTAAAACATCGTTAGTAACTTTTAATAAAATCATGTTCAACAAGACAAAAAGTAGGTTAAAATCACATCATTTTCCTATTTGCACTTTACTAATAGCAACGTATATGAACACCACCACACAGCACAAAACTGCAGCATATCCCTTTTACAGAGTCAATCCACAGCAAATTTCCATCTAGAAGGTAATTTCATTATTTGTACCCAGTCTTTCCCATTTTCTCTTCAAAAGGTTTGTTCCAAGATTTGTACACAAATTTAGCACTTTCAAAGCAAAACGAACAAATCACTTAAACATTTCTTTGAAAAACTGTATTAAACCAAAAGATTACACAGGATAAGGAAAATCAGAGAAAGAGCAACAGAACAGGCAATGAGGTCAGAACACATCAAGCCCAAGAAATACTGAGACAGGTTTGTTTCACAGCAAAACATCTCTCAAAATGAAAGTACCAATAAATTCCAGACTATACTCACATTTTTTCATTGTAAATATCACACATCTTTAGAAGGACACAGCTATATTACAGTTTCTTAAAAACAATAAAAAGGCAGAGAGTAAAAATTTAGATCAGCAGCAGCATCTGGTATAGTTAGTACAAGATCAAAACAGACAACAAATGTGTAACTTACTGAAAACCTCCTATAAAAAATACTGTCCTTGGCTTTAAAAAACCACCAAGATTAATGGTTTGACGAATATTCAAAATATGCAAATGGCATACTAATCAAAGTCCCTAATGCAAAAGACTTAGGGGCTCAAAATAGACTTTTGGTGTGATCCCAATTCATTTCACCATAATGCCCAGAACATGCATGTGCTATATTTAAGTGTTTCCATGTAGAGAGACAGTTACCAGAATGAATGATGCCACCCTGCTGATCTCTGAGGTCATCAGCCAGGCTATTTAATTCGTTTTGTTTTTGTTTTTTTTTACTCAGTGCAGCTTAAACACATGCAGAAATCAGCACAAAAAGGAAGTTTAAACCACTACATCTTCAGTGTAATTCAAACAAGTCATCACACTTGCAAAGCAAAGCAGTGCTTTACGTTATCCCCATCTTCACACTGTCTTTACATTTACCATTATCCCCATCCTCGCTCTTTGAGGGCTCCTATAAAGATATGAAGACCACAGCACAAGGTGCCATGCATGCTGAGAACAAGCAAGCAGCAAACCTCAGGGCAGCAGACAAAAACAGATCCCCATCCATGTTCCCATCCAGTGCCTCACCCCCTGCAAGAGGTTTTGGGTGGGCAGGACGTAATTCCACACACCAGTCAAAGGGGTGGGAAGATTATTTTTTTTTTCCTAGCTGGTTTCACAAGGCCTGATCAGCAGATCATGTACAAATACAAACAGTTAATATTCACAGAGCAACTTCTTGTACCTAATTATTAGAATAGATTTAACATCATCAATAAATATATAAAACAACATGATAATCTCACAGACAAAACACATTTCAAAGGTCAGCATTGGCTGAGATATTCAGACGATTTGGTCGTTGCTTAAAGCACTGAAGAATTATAAGCAGATAACAATGTGAGTGTTAGGAACAGGCTCACAAAATACAAACTTAAGATCAATTTAAACTTTCTGCAAAGGCTCTGAACTGACCCTAGAAGCTATTTCAAATGACCTTCAAATGAAGGCTCTTGCAGCCATTGCATATTTGAGAATAAGCTCCTTTACGCTGTCTGTATCTCGGCACTTTATCTAGATCAGCTGCAGAGCAGGCATTCCCCAGGGACCAGCACACAGAGGTAAACATCTGTCCCAAATGATGCTGTCCTACATTTCACACCATCCCCTGCTGAAAGAGGACGTTGTTCAGTCAGTTCTTAAAAGTCTTGCTCTGGGAGAAAGAGACCAACATGCTCTCTCCAAGCTTCTCAAACCTGTCCCCTTCCCTCTCAGTTCTGAGAAGGAGAGGCAGCAATCCCCTGTCCCACAGTGCTGTTCTGAGGCTTGGTTTCGTAAGGTGCTTTTGCAGAGTCTCAGAAAAGGCACTACAGCAGTGCAGCTGTTGCAATGTCAGAAACACAGAGGTGAGCGCCGCGCGGCCTCTCCCGAGGCACCGATGTGCAAATCCAGAGGGATGGGAACCCACGCGCGGTCACACTTCTGCAGCCCCATCACAGCAGCTCTGTTCTCCCCCACAGCTCTGAAAAAGCCTCACATTTCCAGGTGTTGCACAATTACTGGGGTGCCCCATTCCTCAGGCTGTCTCCAGGCTCCATTTGCTCCAGTGGGCCAAACTCAGGGTGTGTGGCCAGGGGCTTCCTCTGCCCTCGGAGGGTGTGAGCATTCAGCATCTCCAGCAGCAAGTCATACACTGGCACCACGTTTTTACACTTCATGCTCAGGAGATGCTCCATTCCCTTGTTACTGTGCAAGAGAAAAGAAAATAACTCAGCAGTCTGGCTCCAACAGTGCAGAGAAGAAAAATACACTCATGGTTTCAAGAGAATCCCTTTTTAAAATTTGGATTTAAGAGGCTTTAACTGCTGGGGTCCCTGAGATCACTTACCACTACCAACAGTAACAACATCTCAATACTTTAAGGCTGAAGGGGGATTTACTACATGCAGGTTACTAAAGACTAGCTACCTCTCCTACCTGACTGAGTAGGAAGACCTAATTACCCAGCTAATTTCAAGCACTTTATTTACTCTCTGCATGTCCAGTGAGAGGACCTTGCAGTGGCTGCAGACTTTAAAATAATCTTTCTGTTATGCAGTAACATACAATGACACCTTGCTAGCTTGAACACTCAGTGCTGTATCATGGTTTGGATTAAAAATGGCTATTGCCATTGCAGCCACACATATTTGTACTCCAGATGCACTCAGGGGTTTGGGGTTGAAATCTAATGGTGCTTGTTCAACCCCAAATCTATCCCAGTGGAAGCAGCAGCAGACAGCCAGCAGAGAGTTGGGTTGGGAGGGGGGCAATGCTCCCAGATAAACGAGGTTCTGCTGCAATTCAGGAGTTATGAATATGTTAATGGACAAGAAGAAATTGCAGCCCTTCTACCACACCCAGCTCTCAATTATTTCCAGACCAAAGCCTAATTGACTGACCAGCACCAAGCAACCTGAAGGAGACAGGACACAACAAGCAGCCTCCACACTTTGGCTGAGGAAGACACAGCATAAAGGTTCCTGGCTTGATGAGAAAATATAAAACTTTCACAGAGATTTGTGATGTTTGTTCACAGAATGCCAGAACAGCTTCTGCCAAGCTGTGATGTGGAGTCACATCACAGAGCACAACCCAGGTGATGGCAGAGATCAGAGCCATGAGACAGGTTCAGCTCTGGCTGGTGCTGGAGCTTTTGCAAGGCCAGCTCTCAAAGTCACCCCAGTCCACAAACTGACTGTCAAAAGCTGTGTTTCAGCACCATCAGATCCCTGCTGCTGCCCTTTGCTCTCCCAGGAAGTTAATTGCAAAGGTGACCATCCCCTTTTCTGTGTCCCTACAGATATGCCCAGCTCTGCTTTGTCTGCTCCAGTCTGGTCCCAGGACATCTTCCCTGGACACAGAGTCCAAGGTCAAGCCATGAGACAGCTTAGTCAACAGCTGGCCTCTGGGTAATCATTTAAAATGACAAACAGATTGAAAATCAAAACCACTTTTTGTAGGATGTGCATTTCAGTCTACTGTACTACAAGCAGAGATGGACCTCTCAAGAAGGTCCAGGAACTGGAGCCACTTCCCATGTAAAAAGTGGCTCCAGTTCCCGGACCTCCTTGAGGTCACTAATGTCACTAAGCTTGACATTGAGTCATTTGGTAAAAACTCTGTGGTTCCATGTAAAAGACAACAAATTCAGTGTGGGAAAAACATGGCCCCCAAAATCCACTTTGCTTTACCAAAGCCCACACTGCAGATCAGTTTTGTAAGAGATTCTCATTTTGAATGGAAGAGTTTTGATGGCTGGATGAAAGGCCATCTAAAAGGCTCAATTTTCGCTATTGTTAAACATTTCAGGCAGACACATAATGAATAATTTAATGTAATGAAGTTAAGACAGCGTTTAATATCATCATGTCCTTGAGTGCCAGCAAGCACTAGAGTTTACTGCCTGTTTTCCTGTGCTGGGAAGGAAAGCCTCACAGTGACAGAGGTGCAGAGCAGCACCAGGATTCCCTCAGGAGTGCCCTGGAGTTCCAGCCACGTTTTTTTTTTGCTGTAATAAACAAAGAGTAACACAAAACAAGTGTTGCACACACTCTGCAAACCGTACCTGGCGTGTCTGACGTGGGAGAGGAGCATCAGCAGATTGGCCAGGCGAGTGGTCTGCTGCTGTGAGGGGATCCCACTCTTGGCAATAACCCACACCAAAGCCTCTGTGACCACGTTGAGCAGGTGGTGCAGCTTCCTGTTGCTTTCAGGTTCCTCTGCTGACAAGGGGAACATGCCTAACCAGAGAAGAGGAAGAAATATTTGCTGCTAGTGAGGAAGAAAAAAAGGTGCGACTGTAGATTTTTTTAATATGTAATATTTCAACAAAATTACAGAAATCCATGCCCTGATACTCCCCTCAAGACTGTACAAATGATGCTCCATATGGCACATTGAGCTTGAATTTGATGGCCCCATCATTTGCAAAGTGAGTTCTTCCAAATCCTCCCAAGACTTCTTGCACATAGAGCCTCCAGTCAGGTCATGATGTGCTCTCCATTCTTCAGGGCTTTTCCCCCCTGTACCTTGTTTTTTGAATTATTATGAACTATAATATTATGCTTGTTCTAATCCTTTCTTGTTGAAAAAAACCCTTTTTTTCCCTGAGTATATAACAGGGAGGAAGGAGAACATGTCAGTGACACTGCTCAGAGTGACCCAGCTGGTCATGGTCACTAAGGGTGTCATAATACAGCAAATGTCTGCAGTGAGAAACCTCAAAATTCAACAAAAACAAACGAAAAAAAAAGAAAAATAAAAAAAAGGAAAAAACCCTAAAACTATTGAAACAAAACAACAACAAAAACCCCACAAAAATAAAATAAAACAAATTATTAAAAAAAATAGAAGGAAAAATAATGGGTTTGGGGGTATGGAGAAGGAAATAAAGAAATCATCACTAAGAAGGTCTGGAAACACACAATAACATTATTGATAAAGCAGAAGAGACCTGGGACAAGGGAAAGAAAAAATCTCAACCATCCCTTCAGAGATACCTATGGAAGGACAGAGCTCCAAAACACCTTGAAAATTAGGGGCAAATTATTAATTTTGTCAAGAAAGGAGAGTAGAAAAAGAGAATGGACAGATCTTTTGAGACATGAACTTTGAAGAAAATATGGCTGATGAGTGTGGAGTTTGGTTGGGGCTTTTTGGCTGGTTTTTTTTAAAGTGGATACTTTAGGAAAAGAACAGCTTTTGTTGTCTGTTGAAATACTGGTATCCACAGAATCATAGAATCATCTAGGCTGGAAAAACCTTTAAGATCACCAAGTCCAACCTTTGATCCAGCAGTACCAAGGCCATCACTAAACCACATCCACAAGTGCCACATTTCAGCAGCTTTTAAATCCCTCCAGGGGTGGTGACTGGGCAAACTGTTTTAATGCCTGATCACCCCTTTGGTGAAGAAATTGTTCCTAATATCCAATCTAAGCCATTCCTGGTGCAGCTTGAAGCCATTTCCTCTCATCATCATCATCATGGCTTTCCAACCACTGTTCCCCCAGCCTGTGCCACTGCAGGAGATTTTTGTGGCCAAAGTGCAGGACCCAGCACTTGGTCCTCTTGAACCTCATGCTGTTGGTCCTGACCCACCAATCCAGCCTGCCCAGATCCCTCTGCAGAGCCTTCCTACCCTCTAGCAGATCAACACTCCAACTCAGCTTGGGCAGACGAGTGGGATTGCAGCTGGACTGCTCCCCTTCAGTACTGGACTAAGAATTATGCAGCAGCTTCTTGCTGAAAGCACTAGATGTAAATAGCCTAGCTGCTATTTTGTTGTGGGATTTTTTTTTGTCAATATTGACTATGAAATGTTCTGGGGAAAAAATAAGTTTTACTGCAGGCTACCCTAAACTGGCAAAACCACACAGAGAGAGAGGCTGCAAAGCAAAGCTCCTGTCCTGAAACTCATCCTGCAGAACTGTTGAGTACTGTCAATCATTTCTAACCAACTCATTATCATTAAACAGGAACATTTAAGCCCCATTAATCATCACTCAGTTGAGTAACTGGTATTACTAGAATTAAGGACAGATTTGTAGGACTGTATAGCAACTTCACACATGACTGGGATCCACAGAGATAGGAGCAAAATTTCCCATCCAAAAGGACAGATCCACAGCCAGAGCCATGAGCCCCACCTTATGAGAAGCTATCAGAACTTGGGGTCTTCCATGCAGCTCTTAGAACAGGCCCCTAAATACAGGAAATTATACAGCTGAGAAGTTTCCTGAGGAAAAATCTGTACAATCTATCAGAGACAAATCCTTTCCTATTATTCTCTTCCAACAGTTTTTTATCATTTGACACTTTGGGTTTTTTGAGGCCGATTTCCCAGACACCCTCAAAATGGAAGGTGCAGTTTGGTGAGTACCAGAGGCAAGCACATACTCACTGGAATTGAGGAGGATCATTGCCTTGACACACAGATACTCCTTGTGCTGCAGCTTCAGCTCTCGGAACCTCGAGGTCATGGCCAGGAGCATATCAAAGATCTCCAAAATTCCCTCTACACATTTCCCCTCATCCCTGTGGAAACACATTCAACATGTTACCAAAAAAACAGAATTAAGGAACTGACTCAGACAGATAAAAGTCAAAGCATGAAGGAGGTTGCAGAAGGCCTACCTCATCTCATGTTTGGGAGAACTTAAAAGGCTCTATCATGAAATCTGAACTGAAAATTACACTGGTGTGAAAGGTCAGCATTTATGAGAAACTGATTTTCTCATTAACTGCAATGATTGGCAATAAGTGTGATCATATTTTTGTATCATCTCAGCCTGTATAATTCTGGATAATCAGTTTGAAATCCTGTAGTGCAGGGCACAGTACCACCTTGAATAATTTTCCAGATTTTTTTTCATAAGCAGTTACCCACAACCAACAACGTTTGTACCTAATGGAGGCCTCAGAACCTGTTAAAAAAGAAAGACTTCCTAAAATAAGTTGCTTGCAATAACAAGATATTTTTAAAGAATAAAACAACTCTTGTTCCTATCTCCTGGCACTTTTTTCTGGGTAGGTATTGGAAGGTATTTGGGGTTTTGGTGGTTTTGTGGTTTGGATACTTTTATATTTGCAAGTGTTTACAGAATGCAACTTTCCCCATCTTGGATATGAGGAGTAGTCCTATTTTCAGATCTGAAAAACACCCCAAACAAGTAATTCCTATTTGTTTAAAATTCAGCAGTGGCAAATCTCAAACTACTGAAGGTGCTGTTCCTGGTTTTTTTGTTAGTTTTGTTTTATATGTACTGGACTAAAAAAGTGATTAAGCTCTACAACAACAGTATTCAAAGGGAGGCTTCTTATCCTCTTTGTAAGGGGAGATTTTTTTTCTCTACAACATTTTTAAAACAAGACAGATTTAAGCACAGCAGTGCAGGAGAATAAAAGAAATTTACTGGATCCCAAGAGAAAGGTGCTGAGCTTTCAGGCTGGAGGGAGGAACATGCAGGTAACACCACCCAGGGCAGCAGGTTCTGCTTGAAAAAAGTATTTTTTATTGCCCAATTTCTCATGTTTCTCAATTAAGCTTTAGAGAAGGACAGGCAGCTGTCAGATTCAAAACAAGGACAGAGGTTCCAGAGAAATATTGTCTGCAAAGATTATGTATTAAATGTATCTGAAGGCTCCAGGGAGACCTCAGAGCCCCTTCCAGGGCCTAAAAGGGCTCCAAGAGAGGTGGAGAGGGGCTTTGGACAAGGGCCTGGAGGGACAGGACAAGAGGGAATGGTTTCAAATGGAAAGAGAATAGGTTTAGATTGGAGATTAAGAATAAATTCCCCACTGTGAGGGTGCTGAAGCAGTGGCACAGGTTGCCCAGAGAAGTTGTGCCTGGCCCATCCCTGGAAATGTTCAAGACCAGGCTGAATGGGGCTCTGAGCAAGCTGGCCTGGTGGAAGACATCCCTGCCCATGGCAGGAATTAGATTATTATTAAGGTCCCTTCCAACCCAAACCATTCTGGGATTCTAAGTTCAACTAAGATAGAAACAATCAAGTTACAGACCAGGTTCATATAAGGATGTCCTGAATAAAATTACAGCATGCCCAGATGCTTGTAAGCTCCCACTCTGCCATGTCTTTAGGAAATGAAGAAATACATCAAATATTCCTACTCTATTCAGCACATATTGACTCCTGAGCAATTAAATGTATTGTACATTTTCATCAATTTCTGGTCAATGTGCTGAACAGTGCACCATGTCCTTGCATTGAATTTTATATGAGCAAATAACATTTATTTCCTTTGTTTTAGAAATTTTTCTTTTTTTTATTAGCCAATTTTGCCTATCTGTATCTACAATGATAATTGTTGATTGCAAGTCACAGAACTGGTGAAAATCTGAATTTTCCCAGGCTGAAAAGACTAAAAGATATTTTAAAACTACCCAAGAGAGTAGATTGCTTGCCTAACTTTTTACCAATGTGAAGCTTAGGTCAAATCCTTCTAAGGTTCTTAAAAAACATCCTTACTAATCCATATTCTTCCTTCCTGGTACATGATGCTATGGAGAAACAATCTTTAAACTTGAAAACATCCTGCTGTACCTTGAAAAAATATTCTTTGTATCCAACAGCAAGCTAGGGGTCTTTAAATCCCTCTTGGCTAGTGCTCCAATGTTCACTATTACTGCTAACTATAAAGTCTGCTGTAGTGTCAGGAAGAAAACAGGCAGGAAACCTATTTAAAATAATTAAAATATTGTCTAACACTTTATCTTCTTTTTAATGAGGGACGTAGGGACAAATGGACAATGTAGTGCCTTGTGTTGCTGTATCAACAGTTTCAGCATCTAGAGACCTGGAACAAAGGGAACAAAACCACCAAAAGATGGGAAAAATGCAGACAAATTTCACACTCAGTGCTACAGGAGTTCAGGAATTCACAAGTTCAACAATAAAGCTTAAAGCTTAGCATTCCTTAAGCCCTGTAAGGATGTGGAACCTTAGGACATGATTGTTACAAGCACAGGTAAATAATATTGTTAGATGAAGTATTAATAACATCTGCCATGTTTAATCCTCTTCCCACCTTCAACCATACTAATAATGAAGTGTTCTCAAGAAATTTATTCCTCTCACCTGTCCAATACAAGGTCTGGTGCAAAAATCAGTTTCCCAGGATGGTCGATGGATCTCCACATCAAACCAATCATCAGAACTTCCATCCAGCAGCTCTCCAAGAGCCTCACTTGGTCATAGAGGCTGAGATCAATGAAGCCTAAAAACCAAAACAGAAAGAACTATGGGTTGTGAAGATAAGGGAGCACTGACATCCAAAGTGGTAGGCTGCCACTTCAAATAGGACCCAAAATATTTGCAGTTATCATCACCTACAAAATATTTGGAATAAAGCAGAGTGGTGTTTTAGTGCAATTAGTCCCATACAGCTGGTGAGACTCAAATGACTGCAGAGTCACCTGCTCTATGTTCTTGTCCTAAAAGAGAAGAGATGTTAGAAGAAATATTGTGAGGGTGAGGCCCTGGCACAGATTGCCCAGAGCAGCTGTGGCTGCCCCATCCCTGGGAGTGTTCAGGGCCAGGCTGGATGGGGCTCTGAGCAGCCTGGGATAGGGGAAGGTGCTCCTGCCCATGGCAGAGGGTTGGAAGAAGATCTATTCTATGATTCATTTCTCCCCAGAACTTTTAGCAAGGCCTCAGATAACACTGCAGCACAGCCAGGAGGCAGAGACAGTCACAGCCCACCTTTTCTCTTCCCCTGAAAAATAAAAAAGAAAAAAAAAAAGATGATTGGGGAAAAGATAAGGCCTAGAAGTCAAAAGAAAAAATAGGAGAAATAAAATTCCTACACTCCAAACCAAAAGATCAGAAGTGTAAATTATCAAAACATGGGTGGGAAAACAGACTGTTCAGTCAAGGAGGAAAACACAGATATGATGAAGAGCTGCTCAGTGCTCAAAAACAAGATCAGGCCACAGTTTTCAAAGCTGAGCTTCTTGAGCTCGGGCCCCTGGCAAAGGTGATCCATTTTCAGATGAGCTGGCATCTCTGACACTGCTTGGTGACAAATCCAGGCACAGCCTGGCCATGGCAGGCTGGTTTCCTGAAGTTCTTCCTGGTTGTCTGAGGTCTTAAAACACACACAAGATGTTTGGGCTGCCAAAGAATCTCTCTGTCAGTAATTTATACAAACGCTTCATGAATTTTAAACTTATTACACGACTCAGCTGGAAGCCAGTGACAGCCAGGGGCTGACATGAACTGGGCAAAGGTCACTTTTACCACTGTGAACGTGCTGCTTTTCAAAGCTGGTGCCTCTGGTTGTGTAAGAAGGGTAAACAGGAGCTGAGAGGTTCCTTCCCCCCTGGGTTCCACTGTCACAGAATTTACTACAGAGCACACAGCCAACAAGAGATTATCTGCCACACACGCTCATCAGTCAGAACTGCTTTTAGGAAAATATTCACAGAAGTGTGAAAGAGTATGAAAACCAACAGTGCCAGTTTCCTGGGAAACAACATTTCAGAGTATATTTAAATAAACATTTACACTGCCATGTACTGATTTCTCTAGCATAAACAAGGAATTATCAGCTTTATAAACTCTCTCAGTTGAGTGATGTCAGACCAAGTTCCAGGATTCAATCTACAGGCTCTTGAAATCCAGATTTATCACGGATGTCATCTGCTAAATTTGCATTATCAGAGGCAGCAGTAGGAGCTATGGTCATTGAGCACAGCAGTTAGAAGGACTCTAATTCCCTTTTTCCTAACAATCTCATGCTCCAAAGGTGCAGGACACCAAACAGCCACCACAGCTTTCACTGCAGCCTCAGGAGCCCCATTTATTTCTTCCAGACTACATTAAACTAATAATTTTTCTCTAGTTGTCTTTTAGATTGTGGGCCCTATTTCTTATAATTGAATTTTGAATTGCTAAGGCAGAGAAGGAAAAAAACTTGTGCTGGATGTCTAAAAACTAGGAATAGACACACTGCTCTGGCCAGCAACACACTGGGCTGCATAATGAATCCAAATTTCGATATTGTGACAACATCTTATTGATTTGCAATACAGGTTCAGCAATGAACCATGTAAACTCTTTTAGACTAGGTCAGCTAAGCAAAAGGCAATTACAGAAGCTGTGTTCCAAATACTTGGAATTCAGAAGGAAAAAAATCCAGATGTCAGCTTCTATTTGACTGAGCAACAAAAAAATATACTCCATTAGGCTGAAAGTTCAGAACAAAAACACAGCCACAGAGTAAAATTCATTACAAAAGACTGTCATTAAATATTAAACGTGAAAAAAACACAAAATATAAACATGCTTTTTTCTTATTTAGGCAAAAAAGTTACTGTTAATACAATACAGAATTTTTTTTTCACCTCCAGTGACTGTCAAAATAACATGCAACATGCTTTTTTCTTATTTAGGCAAAAAAGTTACTGTTAATACAATACAGAATTTTTTTTCACCTCCAGTGAGTGTCAAAATAATATGAAATAATAACTTAGAGATGAAAATGGGCTTCTAACCTGGATACATAAAAGCAAATATTCAGCTTTTCAGAAAGTAAAATTACTGCTCATTGGGCCATTAGTCAAGACCTCTCTATTTTTTTTTCCCAAGACATTACCTCCAGGAACCAGGCAGGGATGGGCATGATTACCTTAAGGCAAGAGTTTTTGAAAAATAAAATTCCATGTCCTGAGCTTTAGCCATCACAGCTTTTTAATGAAAAACAAAAAAATCAATCCATATTGAAATTAATAGTCCAACTGCCATGTGATACAGCAGTGTCACTTATAATTGGATATTAAACACCCCATCTATTTTTGGCATTGCTCTAAAATGCTGTTTATTTCTGTTCTCTGTTTTTTCTGATCACTCCTATTACAAACAGAGACAACAAAGTATCAGCATTCCCAAGAACTGTTTTGAAGAAGTTTGATTACTTCAATGGGTTTTCTTCATACAGTTCTCTTACTGCCAAGAAAAAGTTTTTATTTCTGACATATGTTGAAAATAAACTAAAAGTGACCTGTGCCAAAATTGAGGTTGGTTTGGAAACTGATCTTGTGAAAAATAAAAATAATTAATCTTTAATGGTTGAAGGATTGGGTTTGTGGGTTTGTTTAAAAAAAAAAGTCTCAGAGTTAAAAAACAGAAATTAATAATAATCAGAAAGTGGAAAAGGTTGGGGGTTTTTTCCCAGTGAAGTATTGGTTAAAATGAGGTCGTTTTCTAAGACTGGTTTTCCTTCACAATTCACTTCCTATCAGATAAACATAACTAAGTGGAGTCCTCTGAAATGGCACCTCTTAATCACATTGTTATGATTAGAGAAGAAATTATTACAACAGATACCATTTAACCCCTTATGCTTGGTTACTTCATAGTTATTATCAGAGTTCCTTAAGCCACAAAAACAAGTCTAAAGGATTTGGGCTCTCAGTTTTTAAACATCCCACATGAACAGCAAAACTATCATCACTTTGCAGACGTCCAGCATGGTTTGAGATACTCTGGGGTGCAAACATCTCCTCCCCAGCAGCTGGCCTGGAATCTGCACACCCCAAAACCATCACACCTGCACCCTCCAAAAGTGTCTGAGAGTGCTCTGCCCCTGGGAGATGTGCTCAGCAGCTGGAAGCACATCAGCCACTCCACCTAGACCTGAAATAGGATGCGCTTCCCGGATGGCTAAATTCCTAATTTAAGGATTAAATGAGATATTCTCCTCCAAGTTTGCTTCCTGCACTGTGCACACACTGTTTCTGTCGTGTTTTCCATGAGTGTTCTCCAGCAGCAGCAGCTCTTCACACTTCACACCATGACAAGGGCAGGGCACACACCAGCACACTGAATCCTTCACAAAATCCAGGAGAGGATCCAGGGAGGGCTGGCCCCCAGCAGTGCTCTCTATCTGAAGCTCAGGATCAAGCCCCACACTGCTAAGAGTCCACCAATTATTCAATGCTTTCAGCTCACTTTTAGTTTTTATTCTGGCTGGGTACTTCATGAAGAAGGAACTGCAAATGCTCACATTTCTGGTTTGTGAGAAGTTAAATGGTTCATTGCCATGATGCCATGGAGACATCTGGGACATTCCAGGCACTGACACAGGCAGTTGTACTGCAGTGCATGTCCAACAACAAAAAGAACCCTTACTGATTTTTGTTTTCAAGGAGAGCACATGATAAATCTGAAATCAATACTGAGCTCCACTGATGTTCTTCTGTAGCAGCTCTGTCAAATGAATCGATTGTAGACACCCAGGACTTGGACACCTTTCAGCTCTCACCAACTACTAGAAACCTTCTATCAGGACACAAGGAAAGAATCTGTTGTTAAATGAACCTTCTAAATCAGCTTAATCAGGTGTTTATAGCTGAGGTAGAAATTACATACAACACCACCTCTTGCACTACAGAGTTTTTCCCACAGAATCTTCCTCCTTTGTGTAAACCCAAACTTTTGGGGAGAAGGAGGAAAACCCTTTAATATTGGATGTTGTAATATTGAACATTTACAAAATGAACATTAGCAAAATGAACAAGTATTTGAGTAAGACCAGACAGCGAGTTATGGGTTACGTTGGGTCTAAATCAAAAACCATCCAGGTTAATTACTGAGAGCAATAAACTCTCCATTACCTAGCAGGATAGAAAGCTTGACTTCTGTACCATGCACTCACATGTGCCCAAAGAAGGAAGGACCCATTGCCAGGTAAAACCATTGACCAAAACAAACAGAAACAAGCCTGAATTCCTCACCAGGAATCTTCTTGGCCCAGCCGATCATGTGCACCAGCTCCTTGTCCGCCAGCTTGGTCAGGGACATCATCATGGAGGCCTCGGTGAAGGGTTTGCTGGGCCGGCTGACCAGCACGTGGGGCGGCTCTGCCTCCAGCAGGGTCAGCACGAACTGCTCGGGGCTGACGGCGCTCAGCAGGATCTCCTTCACCCGCGTGGCCGCCTCGCTGTACCGCCTGGCCCGGCCCAGGCAGTGCGCGCGCTCCTCGGCGCCGCGGTGGCTCCGCAGGATCCGGTACCCGCAGCGCTCTCTCCTCGAGCCTGCCATGACAGCCACGTGGTTGAATTGAAGAGTTTTTCCCCACAGAATTTACCTCCCCCTTGTGTAAACCCAGATGTTTGGGGAGAAGGAGGAAAACCCTTTAATACTGGATGTTGTAATATTGAATGTTAAGTTTCTAGGGCATCCAGCGCGGACTTAACTTTGTCCCCACAGACTTCATCTGAGGAGTTTTGTTTATTCTGCTAAACAAAGTTTAAAACTGCTTGGTTTTGAACCTCAGTTAATTTGGTTTAAAAGTCCAGTGGAAAACTCCCATTGACATCAAAAGATATAAATCAGATCTTTATAGGCAAACAAAGATAGCTGATTGTAAATTTTGCTTTATATGTAATCTGGAGGAATAAAAAAACTTGAAAGTCTGGGCCATGTTACAGATTAAATGTCTCAGGCACAAGCACAGCTGGGCCTCAGAGTTAGCTGGATGTGCAGCCAGGGATTCACAAGATTCAACCCATTTTCTCCCCATGCCCCAGAAAGCCAGCAGGAGTTTCTCCAAAGGGAATTCAGATATCTACAACTAAGAGCAAATACCCTGTGTGAAGTTCTGTCTGCAGAAGGCTATTTATGTTGCAAAGAGCAATCCTTTACATTCCCAGAATTAACTGTTCATTGTGACAAATCTAAACATTGTCCAGTTCTTGGTCAGTGTTATTGGTAGCATCACTGTTACCTATTTTTGCACAGTTTCCAAGCAAAGAGTCTAAAAGCTTCTCCAAAACCATAATATCCATAAAATACTCAGCTATAGTTCTACTTCATCTAGCAAAGAAGTCCAAACATAAGCCAAATTAAAAATAAGGGCAGTGGGGGCACAAAATATTAATTTCAGATGCTGTTGACAAGGTTTTGTCTTGCTAAATGAGATGCTGGGTGAATGCAGCCTCTCAGGCTCATGTGGCAGAGGAGCCTCAGGTGGAGGTGGCTTTCCAGGTCATAGTCCTGTCACATCTTCAGCAGCTGTCAATCAGCATTTGGGTCAGTCTGTGGGAGGGGTGAATGCAAAGGCCACTCAGGAACAACCTAACTAAGGACCAACTGAGTCTTCTAGGACTTTTAGGATGTGGATCTTTCAGTTGTCCATGGCTCTCATTCTCTCACTTCGGTAAACTATGTTGAAGGCAGAAAAAATTTAAATAAGTTCTTAGTATTGGAGAGCACGCGTTCCCTGGAAATCCAAGAGATTGCAGAAGCCCAACAGGCAAAGCTGGTTTGATGAACAGACCTCAGGCACAGAGCTGCCCAAGTGGGACAGGCCATTTGGAACTGGAAGTATTTTTCAGCTGCAAGTCCAGCCTCAGGCCTGCACCATTTGGAGAAAGGATGGTTTTGCAGCTTTGAAATGGATGTGGGTATGATGAAATGGGCTGAGTGCAGACAGGATATTTGCACAAATAATGGATTGAAGGAAATAAATAATTTGTAGAACCAAATGCTTAGCCAAATGACAACTAGCTAGAAGCTGCCAGAGCAGATGAATAGCAACTAAGGGAAGATAGCATACCAGCAGAGATAGACAGAGCACAAGACATTGTCTTATGTAGATTCATGGAATGAGACTTGATGAGAATACCCAAAAAAAAAAAAAGGTTCCTTGCAGAACTGCAGAAGTAACAAAGCAATTTCTTCCACCATCAGTCTGGGCAAACTCTTTCTCAAGAGAGTCAAAGGCCACCAAGGCATAGACTACCTTCTACAAAGACACCTGGATAATGTAGTGAACTCTCTGCTAAGCCTCATTTCTTGACTGATACACAAAGGTTGAGAGGAAAATCTTGAAGTGGTTTGTAAGCTTCCAAAAATACTAGAATTTTTTGGAAGTGGGCTGCAGACTGTTCTGAAATCATGTAATGCACAAAGTGTGTATTTTCCATCAGGGAAGACAAAAAGTAAAGGCTGAGAGAGAAGTAGGCAACTGGAATGAGAGTACAGCTGGAGACAGATGAGGAGATGCCCAGGTGCCAGGGTGCTGTGCCCACAGAGCTGCAGGGCCCTGACCTCCACAGCATGGGAGAGACCATAACAACAAAGAAAGAAAGCACATTGTTTGCACTATTTAGAAATGTGAAGCAAATTTCCCAGGGGCACCCTGAAATAAAGAACAAGAAAAAGAGCAAAGGGAATAAAAGCCATGAGCAGAATAGAGTAAAAATTTTCTTGGGCTATCCAAAACCACCAAATGCTCTATTCCATGTGTTATTGGAGTTATCCTTTCCAATTCACTGTTGTAAAGATCTTTAAAAAATATTTTCTAGCCTATAAATATAAATTTGAGCTTATATAAATATACAGAAAATATAAACACAGATAATTGAGATGATACTTTAATGAATATCAGAGAAATCAAATTTAAAAGCAATTTAAAAAGAACTTCAGCATTCTGTTCTAATTGACAGAATCTTGAACAATTTCCATCTGCACAGCTGCACTCAGTGCTCCATCTATAGATAATTCAATCAGGTTATGATTTTGAGAGTATTAAAGGTCTCACAACTTGTGGAGGGTTCTTACTTGGAACTAGCAAACTCCTTTAAATTTCTATAGGTTATTTAATTGAATCAAGTTTCTTATATAACCCATTCATATTATAAAAAAAATGCTTAATGTGAGACATGTACTGAATTTCTATAATAACATTACCAGTGCAGAAAGCCAGACTAGGAATACTAAATTTCTGCACAAAAAATGTGCTACTAAAGAAAATATAACTAATGACAGAAACAAGGTGGGAAAAAACCCAACCTAAGCAGATTCCGAGTTATTTGTGGTATTTTTTATTCACCATGTATTGCCAAAGCAGAAGTAGGTTGAGTGACCAAGCAGTGTACATAAAAGATACTTTAAAAATATATAATTTATTAATTTATTATTTATTATTAATTTATTATTTATTTCTATTTGTTTCAATTTTTTTCTGCTTGCATTTAAAGTAAAAGAAAGATACATTTAAACTTTCTAGTTAGCTGACACAGCAGAAAACACCAGTTTTCCAATTAAAACAACAGCTTTCAACACCATAAAGGAGCTTCTTTTCTTTCTATTCAAATCTAAAGTTTAGGCAGGACCAAGAAATTTTACCTATACATATGTATTAGCATGCAACAAATATATATTACTGTTCATGAAATTATATGTTATAAAAAACTATCCACCAGCCTAATGTTTTCTTAAGTACATACTTAAGAGATGTGGATCAGTGTGTGTAAAGGCAGAGAAATAAAATACAGCTTCCCAGATTAGGGTCTATCTTTGACTTTACTACAAACTCCCTAACTATTCTTAAAATCTAATATTCATTTCTATAAAGGTAATTCAAGCAATTGCAGAAGTGCAAAATTATCAAATCCCTCATTCTTCCTACCACACTCTCCTTATTTAGAGCTATTTTGTGCAAGAAAATTGCTGTATTCAGCTGAGAATGCTGGACCAAGGGCAAGACCTTGAGCTACAGCACCACAGACCATGAGTAAATGACCCCAAGACAGAAGAAGGCAGGCACATTGAAAAAAGGTCATTAAAATGAGCCTGTTGTTCACTCAGCCACAGCAGGTATTACTGGCAGTGAAACACACTATTTTTCAAGCTTTGCAAATTCTCTGAAAATCACAAATGCTGTCTGATATGGTAGGCAGTTACATGGCATGCTGCCCTTCATACTGATTTTGGTCCCTGGCAATGGCTCTTACAACTCTAACCAGCTCTGTAGCAACTGCAGATTCTACCACTGAATATTTTATAATCAGTTTTTGAAAAACTGTGAGTGTAAACCTGCTCCAGCACACACTGGTAAATCATGATCACTGCAGTCACCTTTCAAAGCAAATGCAAATGCTCTGGTGAGTACATACTCCAGAGCAGACTCTCAAATTGAATTCTCAAGAGTAGAGCCACTGACAAAGGAGCTGCTGTCTGTCTGTGTGCACACGAGGACGTGAGCCGAAATTATAGTGATTGCTATAAAAGCTGAAATTCAATTAATACATCTGATGGCCAGAGAAGGTCTTGAAACATTTAGTCCCCACTTACTTTCTGTGTGAAAAGTACTTTACAGTATTTCAACTGCACGCAGCAGCCACACAGAGGAGAAAGGGCCAAATCCTGAACCAGCCCACAAAGAAATCCGTTTTCCTTCCTGCAAACTTGTCAAATGATTCAAGAGCAGCATCCCTCCATCCATCACTTGAGTGTGGCCTCTCAGCCTCCTCACTCATGGAAAGGAGCTTTACCTTTGGAACAATTTCAACACGTTGAGAACAGACGCATATGGAAAAAGACATGGGAGCAGTGCAAAGGAGGGAAGTAAAAGTCAGGGAAACTGAAAACTCCTTGTCAAACAAGGTCTGCTTGAGCCTCAGGAAGCAAACCAAAAGCAAAGCAGAGCATATCTGCTCCAAGAGTGAAAAGTGATGAAGCAACTCCCCTCTTCTTCACTGCCTTTGACAAGCAGTCCAAGTCCATTTCAGCTCCCCAAGTAAACACCAGAAGGTTCCAAGGGAAGATCAGTTTTATCCTGGTCTGTTTCATTCAAGTTTTCTGGGCAGAGTTTACTGCAGTTTTTCCTGTTTTCTTTGTTCCTAAAGACAGTAAATTTTTTGTTAATTATTTTTCTACCACTGTTAGGAGAATTACTGCCAAACTTTAGCAGTAGCTTCCTTGTTTGGAACAGCAGGGAGCAAAGATTTCCTGCAGAGGAACTGGCAGATGCAACGTCTGTGACCTGTGTGCTTTTGGCAATGATGGTATATTTCATAAGAAAATCCATATCACCTTAATACAAGGCACCCCAAGCTGGCCTCCACCAAAACACCTGGGGCTTGTTGGGCTGAGTTCTTAACATTTCTGAAGGTGATGACATCCAAGAGAATTTCAGACCAAGAAGCTGTAGAGCAACACTTTTCTGCCATCTCCTACTGTATGGAAGATGGCCTGTACTGCTTAATCAGATTTAGGCACACAACCTTCTTTTAAACAAGTTCCTAAGTGTGTGTTTTCTCTCCAGTTGTCTATTGATAATATGCAAAGCGAGGATTTAAAGGTATGAGGGGAATGGTGCCGAGATTTTATGAAGAGCTGTCAAACTACCAAGTGGCAATTGAACTTCTTTTATCACTTCTGCTGGACACAAGTCTCCACTGAGCAAAAATGCACTCACAAACCATTCCATCCCATCCAGGGCTTCAGCAGATGTGAACCAATCCTTTCACTAAATGACCTCAGAAAGGAGCGGAGATGCAGAAAAGCCTTCATTAAAAACAAAGTGTTCTCTTTTATGGTTTTCTACAATAAAAAGTTTTTATTAAAGCATGATTTTTGTGAGAAAATGTCTTGGAGATAATCACTCTGGTCTGCAGGAAATGGCATTTACATTTCATGCAAGAAACACTGTCTTAAAATCTGCCTGGTTTAAATGTCTGTCACCATGTGTCCATACACCAGCATTACTCACAGGTGCCACTTAACTCATCAGGTGACTCAGAGTTCTGAGTAATTTTTATGTTCTTTTTTCTGAAAATAAATCATTCAGATTCTCTAATTAAATTCTCAATAGTTTCAAGCTTTAGTGATACTATTTAAAAATAATTATTTAAAAATACAGGGCTTTTCCAGTTATAGTTTCAATCTGTCTTTTTTTTTTGTGTCTGGCATAGTCACCAATGTCCTGCAGACAATCATTATTGCAGAAAAACATGTTTATGGATATGTGGTAAGATTCAAGGGAACACAGGCTAAGACATGAGTGCATACTATATTTTTTTATTTGTAATACCACAGTGTCTATGAGGTCTAATCACACACCAGGACTTTCCAGACAGCTAGAATAAAAGGATTAATTTAAGGCAAGCATTGTGGAAGTCTACCTTATAATATCATTATGGAATCAATTTTTACCAACCTTTCCAACTCCACAACTGGGGCTTTACAGAAATATCCATTGGAAAAACTTGGAGCAAAATTTTGAGTCATAAAAATGACCAAAAGACAGCGGCACCATTCAGCAAGTAAGACTTTGAAAGGAATCTTATTTGCAGGTGTAAGGCTTTCCTTGCTGGAGGTAAGACCAAACACCAATGAAGCTGAGATGAACATCACTGCAGGAAAAGACAGAACTTCACATAGAAAGAACCATCTGACTTGAGCAGGAGAAACTAAATGTATTTGAGGAGTACAAAAATAATGCAAAGAACAGTTGAAATTTCAGTTCTGCTCTGGGAGTTGTCAGCTAGAAATGAACGGGGTGACTGCAGTCATAACAGATCATGGAGTGATCATGAACTGCCAGCATGATGTTACCTTGAAAAAGGCAAAGAGGATCCTGGGTGTGAGCAGAGGAAAGCTCCTGCAGCAACAGAAATGTATCAGTGCTACTGCAGTGAGGAGAATCACTGAAATGCTGTCCACGATTTTGGGCATCCAACTGCAAATTGGTTCTTTGCCTGGAGCAGGTGGAGGGACAATCTGATGATTTCAGATTCATCTACTTTGCTATTTTGCTAGAGAAGTTTTCTTGGTTTATTTAGACAACTAAAACAGAGGCTGTGAGGGGATATGATGCAGTCCTTAAACAAAATCAGGCCATTAAGAAGAAAGAGCAGAGGAGTCTCTATGCTAAAAGGCAATGTTGTTGCAAGAAATAATGGACATTAATTGTTCAGCAATAAATGCAGGCTGAAATTCTAAACAATGTTCCTAATGAAAAGTCATATTTTGCAAACAGTCTGCAGATCAAAGCTGTGGGAGGATGAGAATGGTGTCTAGTTTTGAAACAGAAATAGCTATCTACAGTAAATGGGATGAAACAAGATGCACGCCTGCAAATCATGGAGAGCCAGGCACAGGGACCTTCTCCTGTCCACTCCAGTGTTCTTATGGGTTATTTTCCCAGCCTGTTTCTATTATATACACTGGGGAATCTACAAGAAGCAGCAAACCTTGACTGTAAACATAGATTAGATTGAAACATTTCTCAAATTATTTTCTTCTTAAAAGTAACCTTGAAAATATCATCTATAAATTATCAACTGCACTGAAGTCACATTGCTGTAAGTACAAGATAGGGATAAAAGAAAAGTCTGGATAATTCTGAGTGGTGCAGTGACAAACAATGGTTTTTCACTATTTCTTTGGGTGAAAGAGCCGTGGGGCATCATCTGAAGATAGCTTGTTCAAGAAAAGGAATTGCCTTCCCAATGCCTTTCCCTTACTGCCCCACCAAAGCCCCCAGAAAAGCCTGGCAACCAGAGAGCTGCTTCCTCCCAGGATGGGTGGCCAAGCTGCTGAGGAACGTTGTAGATGCTCAGCCTTTGTAGGGTTAAAAAGAGGGACAATGGAAAATTTGTCATTCTATTAACATCCCCAAGCACTAATTTTCGGAAGCTGAGAGCTGACAGCAGTAGTTCCACGTAGCAGCTGCTCTCATTCCTACACTCCTCCTGAGGTACCTACTCGTCCCACCATCAGAGGTGGAATGCTGGGTTAATTAACTACTGCTTGGATGTGACACTGCTGCTCCTGCAGTGCATCCAGCCAGGAGAGCACAGCACAGGCTCCTTTACCTCACATGAGCAGAGTCTGGCTCTGGAAGGTTCTGGAAGCAGCAGCTCTTGATGTCCAATTCTGCATGGTATGGTATGGAAGTAACTTGCCTCCACAAAGCTCTGCAGAGTTTATTTGGTTTTCACTCTTAACCTACAACTTGCCCCTTCCCACAGGTGTGAAAATGACAATTCTTCTTCAGCTTTAACAATAATTCCCTCCTATAAAACCTTGCTTTAGTTTAGCTGTTGCACCTTCCTAGGATTCCAAGGGAAAAAAGATACAGAATTGGCTGAAGGGAAGAAAGAGCCAAAACCAGCAAAAACCCCAGCTAAGAAAAAACTCACCACATTTCATCATCCCCACTTCGTAGCACTTCCGCAGCCGGCACGCCTGGCAGCTCTTGCGCCGGTTTTTGTCTATTGTGCACTGGTTGGTGGCTGGGCAGATGTAGTCATTGTGTCCTGCAGCAGGGCAAGAAGGGAAAATTTAACATTTCCAACCATCTTGGTCATTTCCCAGATCAGGGATGTTCTCAACTTTAAACAACTCAGCTTTTTCATGTGCATGTATCTAAGCTCCATTAATTTAACTGATGCAGAAATGAATATTTGGCCTATATTTTAAACATCAGCCTGTGGTCTCAAAATTAACCAGACAGCATTACTCAGCTTTATAGTGGTGACTGTCAGATAACCAAGCACCTTCTAAAATCAACTAATTTCTTGAAAATGGAACATACACTCTTGTAGAAATTTGCTCCCAACCTCCAATTTCTTACTATTTATTGGAAGCCCATAGCTGGCAGATACCAGATTTTCTTTCCTTTTTTTTTTTTTTTTTTTTTTTATCCCTCAGCAGAATTGAAAAGAGCAGCTTCAGTCCTGCAAAGATTTAAGTAAACTACATCTCTATTTACTGAACTCTGACGTGGTGAGTTCCAGGAATGAAGAAGCCTTTGGAGGATTGACCCTAGACCAAAGTTTAAAAAGAAAAAAAAAGAAAAAAAAAGCCAAGATAAAAACAGACTGCTATGAAATAATACATCCTGTAACTACAAAGAAAAACACAAGGAGACAAGGAGAGGGTGTAAGTTTTAGATATTCTGGACAAGTGTTTATCTTACTTTCATCAGTTTTCACTGCAGCCTCTTTTGTTCTCTTGTTCTTTCCCATATTACCTCGTTCCCACCCAAACTCTTTTACATTACTGTATTTCATTAATCAATAATCTGGTCCAAAGGTTTATTACTGTAAACTGAACTTGGGTACACTCCTGGTGTAAACACAGTTGAATCATCTCCTGCCAAATAGTGGAACTATCTCTTGCAGTAATTACCAAAGGATGCAAAAAATTTTCGCCCATTTACTTTTCTTAATATCATTTCTCCCAGACTGCTTTTTAAATTGGTTTGGGTTTTTTTTCCCCAACCAAGAATAAGATCAGACAAAAATACAGCTACTAAAGTGATGGGTTGTTTTTTTTTTCACTTGGTTAAAATTCAAGAGTTCATGTCCCCAAGAGTAATTATTTAACTGAACCATTGTGACTATTGCCATGCAAAATTATAATTATTTTAACCTTGAAGTTTTGAACTGACAATTTTAAAAAGAAGAGATCATGTTACATTTTGTCTCATTTCTTACTGGCAGATACGACTGAAAAACAAATTACTGTTTATCACTCTTCACACAACATGGAGGGAGAGGAGGAGGAAGCTCTCTGTTGCACATAGGAATATAAAATTATTTAAAACTCTCATGGCCTTGGGATAATTTAACTTGCAGGCAGATGTTCAGTGATGTGGGACAGACTACACCACAAACTCAGGCAAGCCAAGGAGACCACACACAGTTGCTCAGTCATACTTCTAATTTTAATTTCGTTAATAAGGCTGACATATTGCTCTATGGCAGGCCCAGAAGTCTTTTACTTTAATACACAATATCCTGCATAACAACCATTGCAACTGAGTGCTTGATAAGTGTTTTATGCCAAGAACTGGCTGTATGTGCCTTTTTTTATTTTTTCATTTGAATTACAAACACCATTACCTGACAGGGTACACTGAGGTGTACAAAAGACCACAGTGGGTAACGTGCTGCTGGCTCAAGTACCTGTGAGCAACACAGAGCAGGCAAAGCATTGGCTTGACAGAAAACACCTTGAGATCAAATTCAGTCTCCATTTGCGACAAACTGGACACAAAGGTCTCTTCAATTATTTTAGAAATCCACGGTACTTGTACCAGCTTGAGAAATTGCTATTCACCAGTGCAGAATCTGCACAATGCATTGAAAAGGCAAAACAAGTTCTGAATTAAATTTGATTCTCCTAGTGGCATCATCTCTGCCATACTGAGCAAAAAGAAAATATCTGAAGATTGCTAAAGGCTCTGCAGGCACAAGAGGAAGAGGAACAGCAAAGATCAAACAGCAGCAGGACTTTCTGCATCGGTATCCATGTGTAGCAGCCAATGTCAATAGAAATGATTTTCCACCAAAAGACTCAACATGAGGCCAAAGATCAGGATAACTAGGCCAAGGTTAAAGAAACTAAGTGCCCCAAACCTGCAGTACAATGCCTGTGTGACTTCCACTGGCTGTGACAGCAAATGTGGAGCCCCACATTTAATTCACACTGCAGCCACGCAGCAAGCTTGAACTAAATACCAAATATTAAAAAAATTAAACATGGAAGTGTAAGTCTTAGCTAGAGAGACCTAGCAGGGTAAGAGATACTGCAGTGCAGGCTCTGAGGGGTGGAGGGCTGAGCATTAATGATAATCAGGTTAGTACCTGATATATGACACACATTTTTCCATCCTCCATAGTAGATATTATCCACTATGACTCAACAGCTCCAGGCAATAGACTCTTGTCAAGAAGAGCTCCCAGCAAGCAAAGCCTCCAGATAACTGCCTACTCTTTCTGTGCCTATGACAACTAATTCTCAATTACTACAGCTCAGCTGGGCCACAAACTCCCATCAGATTCACAGGTCTGCAGTGCCATCCCAGCCAGGCCTGTGCTGCAGGGCCTCACTGTGCTATGCATTCCACCTCTTCTCCAAAGAAATCAATTGCTCACTCTGTAATATTTCCAGATCTTGGTAACATCAGAGCCAAGAGATAAAACAGCCAAATCATGTGTTGCTCTATTTTCAGCATGGAGCAGCAGACACCAGGATTTCAGACCAGCTCATCACTAGGTCAACTGCTGCAGCCCCTGGTCACATGAAACAATTTAAACAAATTACCAAAAACTGTTTGTCCTACCTTGAATGCTTCTTTTAAAAAATGCTTTGCAGCCTTCACAGGACCAGACCCCATAGTGGTATCCTGAAGCATAGTCACTGCAGACTGCACAGAAGTGGGCATCCTTTTTTGAGCCAGGATTATTTGCAATTGGGCTTGTACAGTCATTGCCATTAGTTTTTCTTTTTAATGTTTCTCTGACAGAAGAGAAAAACATCTGTTATAAAAGAGGAAAAATTTAAACTGCACTGCAAAGAGTTTCATAATTTTTTATTGTCTTCTATTCTCTCTCTATTGAGTCTTCATGTTCCTGAACACAGGATAGTGTGAAAGACTGTTGAGCCTTTTCTGACAAGATAAAGCATTTAAAGCTTGTAGTCTGATCCCAGTGATAACACACTAGAAGGATTTAGGCATAAAACTGGACTGCTGCTGAATCAATCACATGAACCATGGGAAAAATCATATGGAATGCTGATGGGTCTTGAAGAATTATTGGAAATATACAAGTCCAGGAATTTGTGAACCAAGTGGATTTTGCCTCCTGGGAACTTCACATGGAAAAGAACTCAGCTCAGACTGACATTATAAATGCTACAATAAAGAGAGCTGCAGTTTGTTTTGTCCTGTTAGCAAGGCAAAATTACAACATACATCCATTCCCAAGTGCTTAATCCTTTACTTGAGGCTTAAATCATTCAATGAAATTCTGGAGACAACTGAGGTGTGAATCTCAACCTACAAAATCAGCTCATGATGTCAGGCAAAGTTTTCTGTTCAAGGTGACAGCCCACAGTGATCACCCTAATGCTGAACAAAAAGAAGTCTGAATACAAGAAGAATGAAGAAACACAATTTATAAAATATGTTCATACATTTAAAAAAAATGCTGCTCTATATAAATGAGTAAGATATAGACATCCCTAAAGTGTTGCAAATAACTCCAACATACAGGAACTATTCTTCATGACAGGATTAAAATTAAAACAGGTAAAACCATGAAAAAACAGCCCATTCCTGACACCAAGATCCTGTAAACAAACAAAAGAGGAAAGGAGCTTAGATTATCAGAAACACTGGGCTTAGGTACAGGAAGTACATCCATTGTATCCTTTACAACTAGACCTCATTTTCTTGGTGGGTTTTGCACATTGTGCTTTCAGGGTCAGTACAATTTCTAGACAGAGAGAAAATAGTGTCATGTGCAAACTCTGAGCAGCTCAGAGTTGGAGAAAAGGAATGGTGTATAGTCAACTTACAGGTATAAACTTAAGCCTAGAGGCAGAACTTCAGAACTCTAGAATTTCCCTCATCTAACATTCCAGAAGAATTAGGGAAGAGAAGAAAAATCAGTTGGGATAAGACAGCAGGTAGCATGGTTTATGACTTCTACAGAACAAGGGCAGGTTTAAACAGAATAGTGGAAACATGCTGAAAGTGCTGTCAAAGAGGCTTTAACTAATATATTAAAAGTAGATTTTGTGCTGGTTTCATGACAGGAGGTAAGGACGAACACACCCACATGCCAACTGAAAGTCACCAGGTTCATAAGTTTTTGAGGAGAATGTGCTTTAATTTCCTGGTAAAAAATTTGGAACAGAGTAAAAGGTGATTCTTGGAGCAAATTTCAAAACAGAAAAATTAAGATATTTGTTGTACAATTAAGTTACTGAGAGATTTTTTTAACATATCCATTCATTCAGATATGGCAGGGCAGAGGAGTGTTTAAGTATTTAACGAGCTGGGTCTTTGATTACACACACACATCTCGTTAATGGGTTGGTGAATGACTGAGTTATTTCCCTCTCTGCCATCCTGGGAATACCAATGAGGGGGAACTCTCCCCAAGAGTAAAGGGGTTGTATCACACACGCCTAAGATGCTGCTAATGAAAGGAGGGAAGAGCATTTCTATTCCTTCCTATACCCCTGTATTTGGAAGCAAAAGTGATTTGGTGTTTCACATTAGTAAAAGAGGTACATTTTAAGCTTTACTTGGGAAACATTATCCAATTGTGAGGGTCAAAAGAGGCTTAAAATTAGCTGGAGACCCTCTCTGTGACTGACTGATATGCTGTAGAGACCAATGCTTATTGCCCTTGATAAAACACTGAGGTTGGGGATGAAAATAAAGAAAAAACACACACACAACATCTGGGTGAGGACTGTCAGTTACACTGAGGTTGGGGATGAAAATAAAGAAAAAGGGTGAGGACTGTCAGGTTTACCTCCCAGTCATGACAAGTGTATTTGAAAAAGCACTTTCTTTCCTTGCTTAAAAGTTTAACGACAGCCACCCTGCACACAAGCAAGCTGTGACGCTTCCCCAGACTCCTGGCAAACAGCTTGCACACAGCAGAACCGTCTGGAACAAATTCCTGCTGGGGCCAAGCAGCTTGTCTGCACCAGCTGCAGCCTCACACCAGGAGGCTCAAACCCCACCAGTTTGTCTGTGAGGGCCACAGAGCCTGCAGACAGCCAGGGCTTCCAGGTAAACATCCCATACCCTGAGACTCCGCTGCTCCAGCAGCGTTTCCACACCCAGGGCAATCCAGAGAGGGCAGCCCCATGTGGGGTACAGACCACATCCCAGCTGCTGTGGGAGTGGGGCACCCCAGGATGTTCACCAGAGGAATGAGCTGCCAGGTCCTGCAGGTGAGCTGGAAGTGGTTGGAGGGATGCCCACCATGCTCCTGCAGCAAAGGATGCAGGAAAACTGAGGATGCACCCTGGCAGCCACAGAGGAACCACATGGTGAAAGATTTATTGCTTTAAACCTCCTAGTACTCCTCTCTGTTTTATGATGGTGGGATCTATAGATCTATAGATAGAAATACTACCTTTCTAAAAATGAATTAAGACTTCACTTAAAGTAATAAATCACTGTTTTTTCTCCTGGTCATCCTCCTACTCTGAGCAACCTGATCTAGGGGAAGGTGCCCCTGTCCACGGCAGAGGGGTTGGAACTAGATGGTTTTTAAGACACCTTTCAATTCAAGCCATTCTGTGAAGAAGGGGTTATACTCCAGAATTCCTTGATTCTCTTTAAGTTGGGTCACCATCAGCTGCATAAGCAATAGTCCTTATATATCTATACAAATAGCTGATGACTTATTTATTTAAACTCCAATCAGGAGTTCAGCTTCAATCTGTTGTAGAGCAGGCACTGCAGAACATCAGACAGGCTGCTGGGTTATTCCAGCTGCTGTCCCAACATCTGGACAGCTTCAAACACTAACCTCCCCAGGGCTGTCAAAGTTTGGAACCTTAACCAAAGTGGAAAGAGTTTGGATGTGACCCCTGTTCACATCAAAGCTGCTTGGGGAATTCTTCTGTATTTAAGTGCTACCCCAAGAGTCTTTCCCAATCCACACACCTACACTGGGAGCATATTTTCACTCCACAGAGCCCACCCAGTGCAGGAGGAGTGTGGGTAGTCTCAAAAATAGCACAAATCCTTTATTAACCATTGACTAAAACTGTTACCAGGATACACTATTTTTCATACTCCAAATGACTGCTGAAGTTAAATAAGGAGGCCTATGAATAAACACACAGCTGCTGAAGCAGGAACAGCACCTGCAGACCCTGAGCTTTTATCCATCCAACAAGTGCTGTGCCAAAGAATGGAGCAGTGTCATCAGCTGATGATCCAGACCCTGATTAGGGTTTGCAATAGGAGTAAATGTGCAGCACAAGAATGTGGTTTTGCAAACAGAGTTTCTTGTCAGCTGAAAGTTTAGCCTGTGACTCTGCTCTTCACAACAACTTTACAAAGTCAGTTCGGAACAGCACCAAGAAACAAAGCCAGGCTTTTTCAGCAGCAACCCCCTTTTAACATCATGCATGCTGCTGTGTGACTGCTTATACTAAAGACAAAAAGCAAAGAAAAACATTTCTCTTGAATTTCAAGTTAACAAAAAGCCTTCACATCTATTAGAAGCAGTAAAAAAAAAAAAATCTGGGTAAAAATTAATTCAAACAATACTGTATGAAAAGGCAAAAAATTAACATTTACCTCTTTCACTCAAAGGACTTAATCTGCCAGAGCAAAATTAATTTTGTTACACAAAATAGTATCTAGCAGTCTTAAACTTTTGTTTATGCAATGCAAACTGTTCCCACACTGAAGGCATTTGTAATGCTCTGTGTTGGTGTATAGTACTCTAAGGAGGTATTGACAAAACCCCTCATTCCAGAAGTTACATTAAAAACAAACAACACACACCCCCCCTCACTGATTTGGTGTCTAGTGGAGCTCTTTTTGCATCGTTTCATTTTCCAGAGGGAGCAACACTTTAACTCAAATACAAAAAGAGAATACTTGAGCTGAGGAAAGCATAAATAAAACCCAGCCAAGGCTGAAGGCAAGCAGCAGCACTGACCTGCTCCCGGGCAGCACGGGCTCCATGGGGCGCGCCTCGCACCACAGGCTCTTGGGCTGCTCTGCGTACAGCAGGGAGGGCTGGCAGTGCAGAGCCAGGGGGGACAGATGGCCAGGAGCAGACCACAGCGCGCTGGGGCTCGAGGTCTGCCGCGCAGTCACGCCCTCTGCGTCCCCAAAACTGCTGGCGATGTTGTAGTTGACCATAGCGGGGCTGCAGAATGCCATTGTGGAGTAGTCGTGTCTGTTTTCCATGAAGGAGGAGGGAATGTAGACTGGACTGTGTTCTGCTGCCAGCGTGGACTGATTGCAGCTGTAAGGAACTGGAGAGATGACACCAGCAGGTGAATTTTTAATTTCTGTTTTATTGCATCCAATATCCTGAAGTGGCAGCAACTGAGAAAAGTCCTTGTGAGAAGATGTGCACAGGGACATTTTGAAGCAAGATTGAAGAGGGCTGTTTAAATATTCATCCTAAGACAATAAAGAATAAAAAAAAAAGAATTAAAAAATTAAAAACTCTGCATTAGGTCTTTTCTATAAAAGAAAAAAGGAACAAGTAAACCAGAAAACACAAAAACATCTCATTAAAACAGATTGCACATCACATGCACTTAAATAGTCAATGTACAAATTTACTACCTTTAAGTAAAAGAAAGCTTTCTAGAATATCCTAAAAAATAAAGACTAAAACACATATTGAGTTCAGACTCCCTTTAAAAATAATAATAATCTAAGAACAAAACTATTTGAGGCCTGCCTGAAACAAAGATAAAGGTGACAACTTGAATCTTACCAGGAGTTACAACCAGGGTAAATCAGAGATAAAATTACCCCAAGATCCACAGCCGTGGAGGAGAAATCAATTCTCTTTATAACAACTCACCATCTCCTGCTGTTAACTGCACCAGTCTTCAGCCTTGTACTTCAGGGTGCTTCCCTTTTCCACCACAAGCATGGAACAGCAGGCATTTGGGAAGCAGACAAACAGACACACATGCATCCCCCTACACCCTCCAAATCCAGAACTGCACTGCACATCCCTCTACACAGAGCAGGGAGACAGACAGTGGATGTCAGCAAGGTGCAACTTCATCACTGAGAGGTCTCTGGGCACAGCAGCTCTGAACAGAGCCATTAGAAAAGCAGAAGTCGTAAAATGCAGATATTTCCAAAGCTGACAATAAAACTCAAGTGATTTCATGAGGTCCAGAAGTTTTATAATTCCCTACAACTCTCCATCCCCATCCCAACTACCCCCTGTCCTTTCTCCTATGTCACTCAGCTATCAAAACAAAGACCTTAAATTGCCCACAGTAAATACTCTGTGCCAGATTTAGGCATATACAAATTATTTAAGAGAGAAAAGAATTTTTAAAAGAAAAAAAAAAATCACACCAAAATTATCCTCCTGAGACAGACCCGTGTCCTAGAAGCATTATTTTACTGTAGCATTAAAAACATTTTTTCTTTATTCTTCACTAAGAGTTTCATCTGCAATTCATTCCAGCTCTGAAGACAGACCTACTTTGCAATTCAAACAATTCTGTATCCAAAAGAGCAAGTTTCAGCCCCAGAACTGATATTGCAATGTACTTTTATATATGGCAATAAGATCCTAACATGAGAAACCACAGGATAACTAAACATTCACCCACAGCTTTGCTTTCCACAAGTGGCCAAGGCGTAGATGCTAAATGTTCTTACCTTTTTTTGCCTCACATGACCATGAAGAAGATGAAGAAGATTCAAGCATGGGTTTGTTGAAGTACCAGCAACCTCCCTGTGCCCAAAGCTCTCAGCCCAATGGCATTTCTAGTGTGCCACCTTGGGGCATTGATACATTTTTCTCCTCTAGGGTGAGGACTAAGAGTAGAAGCATTAACAGAAAATGTAAGAAGTAGTCTTTTTGACTAAAATGGATAATTGAGAGTCTTTCCTTCCTCCTCACTCTGTGCTCTGGCAATGAAACTGAAGATATGTGTAGAAATAACCAGAAACACATTTAAATCAGCTCAGGCACTTTAGACCCAGCTACTTTTTTTTTCTTTTGTGGGAAACAAGAAAATGAGATATCTCAGCAGCTGTTTGTGTCCAGCAGTTCTTGGACTGTAGCTCCAGGACAGTCAAAACAGGGGATTCTGACCTCACTCCTCACACAACCCACACATTTCATCTGCCCCCACCAGATGCTTCACAGCCTCCTCCAGGAAAAACCAGGCATTGTGCAAACTTCACTGCAAAAAGACCACTGGTAAACCCAAAGGTGCTTTCACTCCCAGGTTATGGGGTGGGTAATATTTTAGAAGGAAATGATGGAACCAAAAACACTGGGAGTATTTTCAGGGGTTACAACAAGTGAGCCCAATGAGCACACTGGATTCAACACACATTTAAAGATTCAGGATAAGCAAAGCTGTATTCCCCTTGCAGTCTCAGGGGCTGCAGGTATTCAGGATGAGCATGGGCACTCTGCCAGAGGATCTGGCACGTCCAGCAAAAGCTGTCTGTGCTTACTTTGTCCCTCTGCCTCCTTTGGAAGGGCACACAGCACAGGGGAACCCCAAACCCTTTGGAGGGAAGGACCTGAGCAGCATCACAGCAACATCTCTGTTCCAGTCAGATATGGACATTCTGCTGTGCCAGCTTCTCCAGCAGGCAAGCTGGTTGTGTAGTTTCCCTCAGCATTTAGCAAATAAATGCCTGCACACTGTAGAAGCAGAGAGAACACAGAGCTGCTACTATGGAATTTCACGAACAGAAATCAGCTGAGATTTGAGTCATGTTTCTCTGCAGAGGAAATCCACTAATGTGTGTGTGCTTAGCAGAAGGAGATATTGTCTCCAAAGGGCAACACACAGCATTTAGAAACATACACAGAAGTTACCAGAAGCAAGAGTGAAGCTTGTTTTAGGGGAAGAGTTCACACAAGCAAAAGAAGTCACTACAGGCTTCCTGGAAAACACACTGCTCATAACTTATTTACAAGAGAAGGAGACTCTGGGGTCCAGCAGGTTAAAGAAAACTGTACTCATGGTCTTCAGCAGGCTGTAATGTAGTGAAAAAATAACAGTATTGACCTGAGATTATTAACTTGGGTAGCAGGAACAGCCTAGCCACAGTAGACTATGGATCTGCATGAGATGACATTGATCACATTTCTTTACACGCAGAGAATTTAAAATGGGAAGCCCAGAGCCTCACAAATAAAGTGAAACTGCTCAGAAGGTCCTGAAAATTGGCTGCTGTACTGTGAAGCTGTGTGTCTTAAAGAAGAACTGAAGACTGAGGGAAACAGATCTCAGTATCTGAGACTCAAGAAAAACTCCACAAACACCTCAGAAGGAAGCACAACCACATTTAATGCAAGGATTACAATAAATAGTGCAATAGGCTAATAAATTTGTTCCATCCTGGCAAAATGTCCTCATATCTTAAACACTACTCATGAAACAGAAACAAACCACTTCCTAAAGAGAACTCTTGTCCCAATACTCCCTGTTCCTCTGAAAAAATATTTTAAAAGCAAGATTCAATGATAAAATGCATTATTTAGATGCAGTCTGTCAGCTCTGCACTAGATCTGTACCAGACAGAAACAAAACAGGTGTCTATTGTTTTTATACTCCAGTCTCCTGGGAGCCTGCAAATGTTTCAATCCATTTAAGTGAGTTTAGCTTAGCAAGATATTCAACAACTGAAATGCCATTTATTAAGTAAACAACAGCCACTCTAGCCAGTTCCTCGAGTAACACTTACCATTCACAAATCTAAGACACTACAGGCAGGATTCACTTCTGACATAAAGCAGCTTCATTAGCTCCAGTACCCTGAGGATGACACCACTATCCATGAGGACGTAGGGGAAAAAAAATTAATGTTCTCCACCAAAAAAAAAAAAAAAAAAAAAAAAGGTTTCTTGTCTTTGAATAACTCTACAACAACTGCATGTATCTTGAGTCACCATGCAAGACATGCCAGATGAGGCACAAGGACTGGTTCAGATGTCACAGTCAAACAGACACATGGGTAAATAATTAAGCCATCTGACGTATTTCAGCTAACTTGAAAGCCTCTTATTGCACACTGCCTATACCAAGTACCTCTTTAAAAGCCTTGTGGGAAAAAAACTAATTAATTTTTTTTCCAGTTTTATGTTTGTTTGGTTTTTTTTTAGTTTTGGAAAGAGGAAAAATAGGTAGAGAGGGCAGGGTGCCTGCTTGGGAACATAGTACAATAGCTTTTCCTAGAAAAGTACAACACTTCAAAAAGCAAGGGAGTTATGGATGTTCTCAGGCACCCTTCCATCAACATACACTAGAAAATGCTTAGCATTTTATATATTTTGAGCAAAGATTTTTTGCAATAGAGAATCAAGACAACCTTTTTCTCTGCTAGGCTTAGACTGAAGTGCAATCATTGTGCCTTTGGGTTTAATGGAGGTGATTCAGCAAGCGTGCATTCCACCACCCCACAGGCAGAGACCCTGTCATCTCACAGAGCATTCTATTAATATTCTGTTAAGCTACATTTTACACAACTCCCTGCAACAATAAACTGAATCATCTCCTGGAAAAGTGATTGCTAAAGGAAAGTCATTCCTGATGCTTATGATACTTCTGCTTCAGGTTTTGTGACAAACTTATTACTCATTAAGCACAGCAGTGCCAGATATTGCCAACAGAAGGCAGGCAAGTAAACAAGTTTATTATTACCTGGGAAGGACTGGATGCAACAACTAGGGGAGAGATAGGGAAGCAAAATGCAAGCACAGCTATCTGTCCATATTTCAGATATTGTAAAACCTGTCCTCAATGGCATCAAGACCCACTCTAAATAAAATAGTGCAGCTCAAAATCACACAGGAAAAAAATACTTTGAAACAAGCAAAATGAGCACTCTTTAGCCTATGTTAGCCTTTAAGTTACTCAGAACACTGACAACTCCTAGATTAGTCTAAACATTCATAAATACATTTCAGAGCTCAATGGATATGACGTGGGGGCACCAAAGGAACTGCATTTGTTCCACTAGAGGAATACACAACTTCAGTCTTGTACACCTTGGAGTTACAAAGACAAGGAATCCAGGTTCTTTTTACAGAAAGTGCACGAGTCAGGAGATCACAGTCACCTGCCAGGGCAAGGGAAATCCCAGTAGAACATGGGGAACATTCTCCACAGTGAGAATTAGGTGCAGAAACAGGGTACCCAGAAAGTCTGTGAAATCCCTGTCTTTGGAAAGATTTAAAAAAATACTGTCTTTGAGCAGGATGCTTGATTAGTTGCTCTCTAGATTTCCCTTCCCACCTTCCCATTACTGAAAAATATTTTCAGATCTCAGTTCAAACTAGAGTTAAGGTTGACTTTACTAGTTTTTAGCCTTTAAATTTGTGGACCATTAAAATGTTACCAGATCTGAGAGTGAATTTAGGTCTTCTATGATTTGCATCTCTTAAGTATGTTTCATAGATTTAGGGTTTCAGACAGCAGAAATGAAAAGCTACTGCCCTGCTCAAGAATACAAATGCAAACTGAGACACTTCAGCTCCTTTACTCTCCACATAATTATTTCAAAGCATGGTGTGGAGTTTTTGCTCCAAAAGAATATTTGCATTTCAGCATGAAAATTTTAGTGTTCCATTAGAAAAGAAACATCTATTTAAACTATTACACAAGTTATAATTACAAGGATCTAGCTGAGGATTTTGTAATCATGCTTCAAACTGCAGCAGTATCATGGCAGAAGCCAGTACAAAGAATAGCACCCTTTTCCAGTAAGAACTTAATTATTTTTAAAAAGCATCTCTGATGCAAGAAAGGGCAGGGAAGAGCAGCATGGGGATTTAGATTTTCATGGATCTGGGATGTGCATCTGCATCCAGCATCTCTGAAGCACACTTGGGTCTCTCAGCACATACCAATTAGGGAAGCTAATTCTAAAAACATATTCTTGTTTTAATGCCACACCATAGCTCTATCCCAACAGCATGGAATACACCCATTCCTTGGATCCAGGAGGAATCAATTCCTTCAATCAACATTTCTCTCTTAATGAAAATAAGAGAGAACAGAACAAATGTACATGTGCCTTCCTCCACTCCATTTCTTTCTGGTCATTTGCAAAAAGTGTATTCATGGAATTATAACTGAATCTATGAATGGTTTGGGTTGGAAGGGACCTTGAAGATGACCTAATTTCAAGCCCCCCAGCCATGGGCAGGGACACATTCCATCAGACCAGGCTACTCAGAACTCATCCAGCCTGGCTTTGAACCGTCCCAGTGATGGGGCATCCACAATTTCCTCTGGGAAACCTGTGCCAGTGGCTCACCACCCTCACAGTAAATAATTTCTTCCTAATATCCAATCTAAACCTGCTCTCTTTCACTTTGAAGCCATTCTGTCTTGTTCTATCACTACACATCCTGGTAAAAAGTCCCTCTTCAGCTCTCCTGGAGCCCCTTTAGGCACTGAAAGTAGCAGGGCTTTCTCTTCTCCAGCCTCAACAACCCCAGCTCTCTCAGCCTGTGCTCATATGAGACGTGCTCCAGCCCTCTGATGAATTTCACGGCCTCCTCTGGACTCACTGAATCTTATTTTCTTTGTCTTTCTTATGCTGAGGGTCCCAGAGATGGATGCAGCACCCCAGGTGGGCTTCCCCAAGGGCAGAGCAGAGACTGCCCCACAGAGCTTGGAGCTGTCAGCAAACTTGGTGACCAACACCTAGACCCCACTGCCCACATCACCATCAGAGGTGTTACATCACTCCAGTCTGCTGAGGAGCAGAGTGCCCAATCCTCTGCCCTCAACAAGAGAAAAAGCATATGGATAAAATGCCTCATTTTGCCCAGGAGAACTTTTACACAGCTTGGAGGGTTTCTGAATAACTGTCTCTGTTATTGGCAGGGTATAGACATGAGCTGAGATTTTTTTGACTCAAGTTCCTTCTCTTTACTCTTACAAGAAATCAACAGCTCTTGTATTGTAAATAAATTTGGGACTGAAAATTCCACCTCATTTACTCCCTTTTCCCACAGCAGTTTCCCCACTGAGGTCTGTGAGGATATACAGCAGCATGAAGAGAGCAGAGCCTGCAGCAAGGCACTCATGCCAGGCAGAAATCTGAGAGGAAAGAGATGGTGGCTAAAAAAGTCAATATGTGAAGAAAAACAAGTAAATCAGGCAATAGGGAAGGAGCAGGAATTGAAAATCCCTACACTCTCAGGGGAGATGCTATCTCATTTTTGATGAAAGCAAAGATGAGACTTTCCCTGGTAGCAGCTGCTCCTCACTAGGCATAAAGACCAGTGAAAAAGATTAAAAGTCCTTTTGCCAATGCACAAAAGAGAAGAGTCATTTCTGCCCCTTAAAACCTGACCCTGGCAATCTATGTGCAACAAGTCTGGTGTTGGGCAGACAAGTGGGACACATCCCCAAAGGATGGGAACTATTTATTTCTGCAGTTCATGCTCTGCCTCTCTGGCAGATCTGACCTGCCAGAGCTCCAAAAGAAAGGGTGGGAGGTGCTCTTTGCCATGTATGGCAGGAAATGCAGGATTCATTGCTCCTGGCTAAGCAGACATTGGCTTTCCCTTCAGCACACCATGCCTCAGGCTCCTCAAATAACCTCCTGTTTTGTGAGGCTCACAAGCAATGGTGATAACCAGGGCAGGCTTTGGCAAAAGAAAACCTTCCTTGCAGAAATGTTGTTAGGGAATAATTTTTTCAGATCTCAGTGACCTAAAGAGTGAAGAAAAAGCAGTGGACTTTTTTCCTGTCAGACCAATTTGCAATATGTCTTATTTTACTTTCTCCTCCTCCAAATAAAATGGTGTTATTTACAGTGGCTTTTTTCTAGACAGCCTCTTTATAATGCATATGATTCATGCCACAGGATTAATTTAGGTAGCCAAAGAGTAAATAAAAAGTGTAAAACTTCTGTCTTTTTAGTCATAAAACTTGAATAAGCAGTCTTTTGTACCATGGCATAGAAATGAAGTCTATGCCTGAATATGTACAAAATGCAGAAACTCCTTTGGCTGCTTATCTGGTATTAGCTATAGTAAATTGATTTTCTTACTGGAATTTCTGTAAAAGACTATTCCAATTGTATTAATTTTGTTGTGCATCTTCACATTAACAGCAAATTCAAGACTAAATATCTTTGTCTCTGCAATTTTATTCTAACTTCTTTAAAATGAAGTTTTTTCAATGCAGTTTTTTGATACCTGATTTTTGATGACTTAAAATACTTTTAAGCAGCTCATGAATGAGTCGTCATGCCTTTACTTTTTCTCCACCATCACTAAATCACTGAAAGAGCACAGAAACCAAGTCATTGCTTATTCCTGCCTTTCAAGCTGTGAAACACTCTTATAATGCTGCATGAAATCCCAGTTCTGATAAGTTTAGCACCATCCACAGGCAACAAAAGTTTGTGCATATGTTTTTGTCCCTTAAACAAAGCAAGCTGTTCTAGATTTGTCTCATCATTAACCTAGACACGAAAACCTGCCTTTTATTGTGAGTAAAATTCTGTCTCAGCTGAGTCCGTTGGAATTTTGTTGATGATTCTCACAGATTGACATTTGTCTGACATACTAATTAAGACAAAATTGTAATGCCCTCCCAGTCTTATTAGAATGAAATCTGAGAAATTATTCTGGAATTTCTGCCTGCTGAGCTTATGTCCTGTCTCTCAAGGAATGGAGCAGCAGACCCTTTTATATGAATATTTCTTGCTGCTAGCAAAAGCATGCTGCAGATAGGTGAAGAGGAGCACAGTAAAATAGTGGATATAAAACCTGGTCAGCCCCCTGGATCACCACCCCTTGTCACTGTAAGCTCTTTGCTACTTTTACCTTTAAGCCAATATTCAAG